CGTTAATAATTTCTCAATGTTGATGTGTCTAGATTCCTGGAAATCAAGATAAATTAAGACAGCTTTTCTGTGTAGATAAATTGCAAAGATGACCTAATACCGGAAGAGTTCACCAAATTTTACATCTCGGGATAGCTTTTCTATGATTGACCAATACATATTCACTTTACATGGATGCTGTATTATTTGTATCTAGTGCAATAAGAGGTGATTTGCGAATTAAATGAGCGAACAAAACCCAAATGGTTGTTGTCCTGCAAGCACAGACCTCTTGTATATTTAGTTGTCAGTTACGAAATATAAAAGCGTTTAGGTTGCCTGAAACATCCAGCTACACCTCTTTCCCGTCATTTGGGGGCTGTTGTTACTAGGTTGAAATAACGATTTTTTTATGCACACGTCTGCACATTGTTTACCTCTGCTGTTATTGGTGATAAAATTATCAAGTACCCAACTTGGTCTACTCGGTTAGAATAAGCAAAAATTATGCTTTATTAGGACTTAGTGAATCTAAACTATTCATTATAAAATATGTGCTCGGCTTCGCGCTGCCGTATATAATAGCCCAGCCTTGTATAGAGAAACAAGAAAATGAGTCATGGGGTGTTTGGTATGTAATAAGGAAAGTTACAAGCGAGGATCTCAAGGGGGGAAAAACCCATATGATGATGGAGAGTAGTGTTGGTACAGGAGGGCATCGTTCGGTTACAGAGCATGACGACAGCACCTGGGAAGCGATGGGGCAAAGAGTGTGGATTAAGGGGGTTTCTGGTTTATACTGCTCTTGTGTCCTTTTGGAGCCACGTTTTGATTGGTACAACGAAGAAACTCGATGTTGTGACTGGGTTCCCTTAGTCCCCATGGGATACCATGCTCCACCTGGTGTTGCATGAGTCGAAATATACCCATGAGATGCAGCCAAATTGATTGTGCAGTAAAAGTCACTACAAATACCTTTTGAATCGTCATTCAATCAAGAGCAGATATAAAATGTATTCTTGTGACTCGTCCAAATATTTTATAAGAAACCAACATTTGTGTCGAAGTTTCAACATAATTATATTTTAGATTTTGGTTGGTAGACTTATATTTGTAGTTATTTTGGTGTGTATTCTATCATTTAGCTGACAAGTCACTTGTATAGAAAAGTCAGGTACTGATCTTCTAAACTTAAATTAAAACATCCTCAAACCTGCCTGATAGAATAATATTTTTCTCTGCTATCCTTTCGAATAAGGTAAAGTCAATTTTTTAACAACCTCGATACATACTCCAATGCTGCTGTTGGCGCCTTGCACCAGCAAGCGTGCTTGTTGTTTTTATTACCTACATTTTCGACTATTGTAAATGAATCTTAGGTTGCATTTCAGTAGCCCAATGAACTTTCTACTCTTTTGGTAGTTAGATTAGTGCAGCTTTTATTCGTTCAGATCTTGGACTTGGCCTTAACATGATTGTATCCATTTTTTACCCAAATACAACACCGTTTTTGCGCAGAGTAATTGAAGAACCGGAATGCTTATCTCTTTTTATTTTCCTTCTAGATACTGGGAGAGTCTTCGAAGCTTGGTCGGGAAACTTCTTAAATCAGTGAAGTCAATTGCCAGTCTCCTGCTTCTCCTCTTTCTCTTCATCCTCATTTGTTCTCTTCTCGGCATGCAACTGTTTGGTGGTAAGTTCAACTTCATCGAGGAGGAGAAGCCGAGGGCCAACTTCGACGGCATCCTGCAAGCTATGCTTACAGTCTTCCAAGTGAGTTGGCTAGGTAGCTTTTAACATACTCGCTGTCCTTGGTATACGGACACTTTTGCATTTCATGCTGCACAATCTTTTTTGGCGTATACGATGATAGAGTTTTTCAGCATACAAGATACAGATATGATTAAAAGCTT